TTTGAAAGATCTTTCTTTGTTCTCAAGGAGGTTTTAGATCAATTTCTTATCCTTGGAATTCCAAAATGTCATCAGTATGTGTCTAGGTCACTATTTTTCCCCTGTTAAGCATTTCAGCCTGAAGAATTAATCTTCAGGTTGGGCCTGAGATTTAGCTCAGTGATTTCATCACCTGCCTCGCAAATACAAGGACCCAAGTTCAACCCCTGGTATCCATAAATAAATAAATAAATAAATAAATAAATAAATCAATCAATCAATCAATCAATCTTCACATTGAAGAATTTCTTTTTCTATTATTTTTCCCTTCCTTTTACCACCCTAGTTTCACTACACTATTCAGATCACTTCACATTTCAATAATATTTTAGCCTTGATTTTTGCTTTTGTTCTAAGAGATTTGCATGACTAAGTCAATATTCAAGCATGTTTAATTTTTTTATATTAATTATTCAAAATCTGGTTCTAGTTCCTGGAAAACTGATCACAATTAATGAATATATTCTCTCTGATAGTTTTTATTATTTCCCTATTTCCTGGAAAACAGAAGATAAATTCTCTTCAGAAAAGTAGATTTTTCTTGTATATTCATTAGTTTCTTTTCATCCATGGTGTTGATATTCTAATAACTTATATAACTAGAGGTGCAACACAGTATTTAGAACGTGGTTATATGAGGAGAAAGGAACCCTTCTCCATTGTTGGTGGGAGTTCAGACTGGTGCAACCACTATGGAAATCAATATGGAGATACCTCAAAAAGTAGGACTAAAAGTTCCATTTGACCCAGCTGTCCTTCTTCTGGGTATCTTTCCAATAGAATTAAAAGAATCACACCACAGCAATATAAGCACACCCATGTTTATAGCAGCAAACTTTGTAATAGCGAAAACTTGGAAACAGCCCAATTGCCCATCAATTGGAGACTGGATAAAGATGTGGTTTTTCTATAAAATGGAGTATTACTCAGCCATAAAGTATGAGAAACTAGAGTAATTCATAGGAAAATGGATGCATGTTGAGGCCATACTCTCTTTTTTTTTTTTGGTACTGGGGATTGAACTCGGGTACTTGCACTTGCAAGGCAGGCCACTGAACAGCTGAGCTAAATCCCTGGCCCGAGGCTGTACTCTAAAGTGAAATAAATAAGACACACACTTGTAAATACCGAATAGTTTCTCTGGTGGGAAAAAATAAAAGTGTAAATAAGATCTAAATTGTATAACTGACAATACAAAATAGGATGAAAAGGGATGAGGGTGTGGGGGAAGTGGAAAGGGTAGGGGAAAGGAAATAAGGGAAAAGAAAGAAATATGAGATGCTGGGCGTGGTGACGCACGCCTGTAATCCCAGCACTAGGGAGGCTGAGGCAGGAGAATCGCTATGAGTTCAAAACCAGCCTGGGCTACATAGTGAGTTCCAAGTCAGTCTCAACTACATAGTGAGACCCTGTCTCAACACCCCCCCCCAAATATGAGAAAAGGAAAATATGGAAACAAAGTCATTGCAAATAGGGGAGGATGGAGTGGGGAGGGGAGGGCAGGGGTATAGGGAAAAAACGAGAACCAAGATCTTTCATGTAAAGGTACAAGATCCCAATAATAAATGTAACTGTACTGTATACTTAAAAAGTACCAATAAATTCAAAGATAAAAAAGAAAGAAAATGTTTATAATTCAATTCCAGAGAAAAATTTAACGGGAATTTTTGGAAAGATATAAAAATAGGTTATAAAATTAACTCATGATTTATAAATTTATTTGTATAATTTAGCAAAACCATGTAAAGTAACTTAGAAAATTTTCAAAAGTAAATTAAAATAGAACATGTTCTCCCAGATAACAAAATACATTTTAATAATAATTATAACTTCAGTCTTTTTGTATAAAAATATGATCTAAAGATTAAAGGTAGAATCAATCATCCTTGAATTTAGTAAAACATAGAACTGGCATTTCAAGCCAATAAGAAAATGATCAGTTATGCTACTGAGTTCTGACAATTTACAAAATCCAAGAAAAAAATTTCAGAGCCAGAATTTAAGTAAAATAAATTCCTGATTATTTAAAGCTTAAATAGATAATGTAAAATCATAATAGGTTTAGGATTAAATGTGAGTATGTGTTTAGGCAGGAAAAGCCTTGTTACAGATTTGTACAATATATGCCAACTATATAGACAATTTAAAGTTCTGTTTATTATTTAATAAAAGTAAAAATAGAAATGAGTAAATGATGAAAGTATTTAAGCAAAATAAATATAGATTTAATATCCTTAATCTCTAAAGAACACTCTAAAATCAATAAGAAAATACATCAATAAATAATGATAAAAGGCAAAAATACATGGTTTTCATTAGACAGAGACAATAATTTTAATATTTTGGATGTTAAAATAATTCATATTAAGACAAAAGAGTATTTGATTAATCAAAGATAGATATAGTAAATACAGCATTGGAGAGAGCTCATAACATCACTACCATTGATAGAGCACATATAGTATTTCTCCAGGGCAATATGACAATAATAGCAAAAATAAATCTTTTTTAAATTGGGTATATATCATTGGTTCAACAATTCTAATTCTAGAAATACATAGTAAGGAAATAACCAATCCTAGACATAAGGACTCTACCATAAACGTATTTGTCACACCATTGAAAAGTTATAAAGGCAAATTATGGAAAACATGAATGTAAGATGATAGGGAATTTCTTAATAAGGTACTTCAAATTCATAAAAAGAAGTGCCATTAGAATTATATTTAATGACAAGAGAAGTGTTTGTGCTATACTATGTTGAAGGGAGGGCAGGGAATGGGAAAAAATAAGAACCAAGATTATGTAAAGGTACAAATTTCCAACAATGAATATCATTATATTGTATACATTAAATGAACAAATAAAACTAAAAAAATAAATTTGAACAGCAGAATATAATCTCCTTGTTAAGAAAAGTCCCTCCCTACCTTCTCCCACCTTGAAAGAAATTATTGCTTGACAGTGTAATTACTGATAGGTTATTTTTTGCCTTTTGCTCATTATTTTATAATAGGTGTGCTATGCACTCAGTCATTAATAAATGTTTGCTAATTTTTAAAAGTATGCATTATATCTAGGCTGTCTTAGTATCATACAAACTACTGCCTTTTGGACAGAGTTAAAAGAGACACTAGAAGTTATGAATTAATACGAATTGCACAAGGACAACAGCATGAATAGGCTGTCCCAGGCACAGCAAAATGTACAGATAACCTAAAGATGTATCTTGACTTTAATAATTGTATAATCTTTATTGAGAAGATACATGAAACTATTACAAAATAGATACATGAAACTATTACAAAATAGTCTCCCAAAATTAAAAACCAAGCACTTATTCATACCTGAGAAATATCAAGTGTTATTAGAGATCTAAGAACTAGGAGGTATATATAGACAACAATTGCCCAGGAAGCTTCCCAATGGAAGTGAAAATTGAATGATATTTTAGAACCAGTGACAGAGAAATGACAACTTTTAAAAGGTGTTGGGGTGGTAGAAGGACAAAGAATAAAATATCAGCAGTAGCTAAAAACAATGTCATTTATAGAAAATCAGCCTGAATTTGCAAAGGGTCTCTGTAAAAGAATAAAAAATAAACAACCTAATAAAGAATATGCTATCACTGTTCCATTTTATATGTGAGAAAATGAAAAATTGAAAGGCTATATAACTTGCCCAGGGTCACATAACTAAGAGCAGGAACTGGACTTTGAACCTAAGGCAGCTGATTCCAGAGCCCAAGTTTGGCCTATCCTGACTCCTCTAGCCAACCTATAGCCTCTGGTATAAATCTTTTATATGGGACTTTGTTTACAATGTTTCCTCACACAGAAACTACTCCTCTTTCTTTCTGCTCTACCAAATCTCTTTGTCTATCCAACCTCCACCCCACCCCAATTCAAAGTTTTTCTTAACCATTCCAGTGATTCTTAGAATTCTCTCTTACTCTGGATTTGAAGACATCACTCTCCTCCAGTTTTCTGCCTATTTTTTCAGCTGCTCTTTTTCAATCCCTTGGACAATTGTAGCTCTATATTTCCCTTTTCTCACTGTATCATTGTGCCTGTGAGTACATCTACCCCCAAAGCTACAGCATCTACCTACTATCATGCTGAGAACTCCAGCTTAGATTGCTTTTGCATATTCCACAAATTTCTACTTGAATATACATAGATACCTCAAACTCCATATTTGTGACACTGATATTCACTGGGTCTCAAATTTTTGCTCTTATTGAGAGCAGATTATTTTGAGTCACTGAAGCTAGAAATTCAAGTACGAACTCTTGAGTCCTCCTTCTCTCAAGCTTGATCTCCTAGAAGTCACCACCTTTTGTCCACTTTACAAATAACTACTGAACTATCTCACTTTAACTCCCTTAGTCCAAGCCCTCTTTGTTTCTTACATGATTATTGAATTTGAAACTGCTTGGTGCATGTTCTTCCCCTCCAAATTCCAATTTTATCATCACATCAGCATTCCCAACTTTTAGAGGTCATGTGCTTCTACGAACACTTCCACACTCCCTCAAATATTTAGATTCTCTATATGAGAAATGTATACCTAATTCAAGTACTTTTTCTGCAGGTAATTATATGTGGGTACCATGCATTAGAAAATGCAAAGCCGATTCAGGCATACAATCCAGAAAATGCTTATATTGGGTTTAAACATAAAATTAAAAAATCTTTACAGAGAATCGTTTTACTCTGAATTGTGTCAAAATGAAGGAACAGGTTAAAACTTAATGCTAATAGTTTCATCTTAGAAGAAAATCACCCATTGATGCCCCAGTGCCTAAGAAACAATTCTAAGTTCCTTAGCACAATATTGAACATCACTTAGCAGTTCATGATAGGTTACTGTGTTTGTCAGGCTTTCTTCACTGTGACCAAATACTTGAGATAAACAATTTAAAAGGAAGAAAGGTTTGTTTGGGCACATGACTCCGGGGGTTTCATAGTTGCTTTGGCCTGTACCAAGGAGGAACATCACAATATGGGTGGTGAAGCAAAGTTCACATCATGGTGGCTGAGAAGTGAGACAGGAAGGGGCCAGGTCCCAAGACAACCTTTAAAGGTACCTCTCAACCCCCAGAATGGCCCAAATCTCTCCAACTAGACTGCAACTAGACTCTTAAAAGTTTACACCGCTTTCCAGTAGTGCCATTAGCTGGGCAAAGCCTTAACTAGATTTTGGAGGATACAGTTTTAAGATATAAACCATCATAGTTGCCTCTCTTTAATCGTCTCTCTCACCTTTTCCCATATCCGTGGTATCACAAGTGCAACATGTTGCCTTAAAATGGCCACATTTCCTTGGGCTACTGACCTCTAAACATATACAACTTTCCTCCCTTGGTTACTCACTTCCTATTCTTAAAAGTCCCACTCTAGGAAATTTTTTTTTAATCTGAGAGAATCTCTGATTTCCTTTCCTTCTCTTTCCCAGTCTTGAAATGTATGTGCGCAATCACAACATGCTGTATGTTATATATCTGACCATTTTACCTTTCAAAGTAGCTTACTTGACTTCTGGGACTTTTTTTTTTCTGTTCTCATATTTCTTTCTTTCCCTTCTTTCCTTTCCCCTACACTCTCCCCCTTCCCCTTTGGACCTTTTCTCCCTATTTCACATTATCTATTATATAATTTTGATCCTTATTTATACTTTCCGTTTCTCACACCAGAGAAACTATTCGGCATTTACACGTGTGTCCTATTTATTTCACTTAAGAGTATAGCCTCAGTGTGCATCCACTTAGCTATAAATGTCTCTGGTTTCTCACTCTTTATGGCTTAGTAGTACTTCATTTTATAAAAACCTATTAGAAGTACTTAATATTTACATTGGAATTGATACATGTACATAACACATCTTAATTCCTTTTTTCGTCCTTTCCCGCCCTCCTCCTTCCCTCTCTTTATCTTTTTCCCACTGGAGAAAGATCTACCTCCTTACTTCCTATTATCCATCTCCCATTTTCTATTTATAATTTTTAAGAGAAACCACGTAATATTTAAGTGTGTGTGTCTGGTTTAATTCACTTGACATTATAGTCTAAAGGCACATCCATTTTCCTAAAAATGACTCAAGTTGATCTTTATGGCAGAGTAATACTCTATTGTGTGCAAATATATTTGCTTTATACATTCATCTGCTGATGGACATATAGGCTGCTTCTAAGATTTAGCTCTGATTAATTGTGCTGCTATGAACATGGTTATGCATGGATCACTATAGTAAGATATTTAACTTTTTGGAGAAGATATCTAGAAGGTGAAGAGCTGGGTGTAATGAAATTTCCAGTTTTAATTTTATGAAGAATATCTATACTGATTTCCATACCATTATACTAGTTTATTTTCCCATCGACAGCATAGAAGGGTTTCTTCACTCCCCTCACCCTTTTGCAGCCTCTCTGGCAGCCTAGTACAATTCCTAAGTGCAAGATACCTATGTATTGAATGAATGGATGACCTCCATTCATATTTACTTTTCCTTTTTCTAGTGCAATTAGCTAGCTCATTCATTCATTCATTATTAATAATTTACCTGTCAGTTTCTGGAAATACAATGATGAATAAGATATCATCTTTGCTCCCAAACAGCATTTTTAAATTGTGTCATCTCTAATCGGTCAGTTGTGTCTTTTCTTCAATATATTTACTGCTTTTCACTGTTCCAAAATCACTGCAGAAGTACACTGTGAGTTTGTGGAACAGCATTATTTTTCCTTTAGGGGATTCTTGTACCAGAGATTCCTGCTACAAAGAAAATCTGTGAGTGAGCTTCAAGTAATTATGGTTGCTTATTGGTTTTTGTGGCACAGATGTGCTAAGTGGGCTGGAGGGTAGAATTATGAGTTCAGAAAAGAACCAGAATGTTTTGTGTGATTCTATGTCATCAGCTCACCTCTGTGATGCTGATTTCATTAACATAAAAAAGACTATTTTATATTGAGTTTTAGCCAACATTATGCATTAGTTTTATTATATTTAAGAATTTTAGGGATTTTTTTATATTTATAGATATTATTGTTCCTTAATTCTACATAATAACAGGAGGATTATACAGCTAAGATTTATTGAGGCTTCATGTAATACTGAGTAGTTTCTCTGGTGTGAGAAACTAAAAGGGTAAATAAGGATCAAAATGCTGATAATGTGAAATAGGAAGAAAAGGTGTAAAGGGGTAGAGAAACTGGGGGGTAGGGAAAAAGAAAGAAGAAAAAGGAAAAAATATGAGAGAAAGGAAAAAATGGAAACAAAGTCTCTGTAAATAGGGTGGAGAGGATGAAGGGAGGGCAGGGGAATAGGGAAAAAATAAGAAGCAAGATAGATCATGTAAGGGTGCATGTTCCAAATGAAATGATGAATGTAACTGTATTGTATGCCTAAAATGTACCAATAAACTTAATGAAAAAAAGAGAAAAATTTTAGGCAAAAATTTTATATGAATTAACTTACTGAATCCTTACAACTTTTATTACATTCATTTTATTGCTAGAAAACCAAGGAACAGAAAACTTCACTAATTTACCCAGCAAATTTAATTGGTTATCCCAGAGGTGGAATTCAAACAGCCCATGAATTTCACACTACTGTATTAGGTTAGGAGCACTAAGTTGACTGCTAAAAAACTAGGATTTTAATCTTACGTGCACCATTTATAGTGAAGTGAGCTTAAGGATATCATTTACCTTCCGAGATCCTTTGACCTTTTATCTCTTACAGTCTATGAGGAAGAGCTTTCATATAGTCTTCTATAAATTTTACAAATTCAAGAATTTCTTACAATAAGTTAAAATTATTTTTTAAGAGTTTGAAGAGAAGTCTTCCAGAAAGTTTGCGAAGGCAGAGAGATGAAGTAAGACACTAGCACTAAATGTTCAAACACCCACTCACCCAGTTAAGCTTCATGTTTTATTGCTAAACCTGAGGGAACAAAGGAAGAAAGTAAGCGAGAAGGTACAAAGTCTGAATATTCAAGGACTAATATACATGATTTTGTTGATGATTTAAGGGCACTAACAATTATTTTGAGATTAGCAAAGAGGTACAAAACTACAAAAAATAGTCAAGTTTTTAAAAATTATCAGAACTATCTGTACAAGTACAGTTTCATTACATACCTTTTCTTTACAAAAGAAACTTTGTGTTCTAGCCAGGTCTTATTAGCAATCAATTGGAAAACAATAGATAAACAGTGGGAAGGAGTAAAAGTGAAAAATGGTGCTAAGTCCAGAGATGCTGCTAAATATATCCTCATTATAAGGATAAGGTAAACAATTACTGGATAAAGTTGCCTCTTATTGTCAAGTTGCACCGATACTCTAACTGGTTCCCTACAGGATACTTGAAAATGCCTTTTAGAAAGTACTTGCATGAGGAAGCGTAACAAAAAAAAGTCCCAATGCATACTAAATATATGAAAGAATATTCACCTGCACTGGTAATCAAGGAAATGAAATGATCTCATTATAGAGCCTCCATACTTGGGAAAAATAAAAAGGAAAGCCTGACAATGCCAAGTGTTTTTGACTAGGAGATAGCACAGGAACTCTCATATGCTTTTCACACTGTTAACCAATTTCTCTTTATCAAGTGAAATTAAAGATATGAATGACTCAGGATATTACTTCTAGATGTATTTTTCCCATAAGGCATGCATATGTGCATCAAAATATATGTACATGAATGTTCATAAGTTTGTTCATAATATTCTCTGTATCGAAACTTTCCAACTGTATAACACTGAACAAATCAATTGTATCTTTACACAAGGGAACACTATACAGTCATACATCATCATTCTCATGATGTACAACAATCAGCTACCTATAGCACTGATGAAACTTACAAGTATGATGTGTAAAAGAAGCAAAACTCAAGAGTATTTACAAGAGGAGTACACTTACATAATACATAGAAACAAGCTATAAAAACTGGAATATACTATATTCATCTGGTAAAATTTTAAGAAGTTAAAGAATTAAAGTCTATTGGCTCTAAAAGCGCCACACATCTGGTTTGATTGAAATTGGTGGCAAGGACAAGAAAGCACAATTGAATTTTAATTTTAATGATCTCTAAGTGATGCTTCAAACATAAACATATATTCAAGATGTTGACCTTGAATCTATTTTCACAATTCAAAAACATGCTTTTCTCATGAATCTTTTTTAACAAGCTTTGGCTGGGTACATGTTTCTCCCAGATGTGTGGTGTTGTATAGATACGACTTTCATATCTCCATATATGATTTTAAACACAATTATAAAGAATATGTTTATGAGGAATATATTTATTTCAGAAAATGGAAATAAGAGGACAGAACTAAAATGGATTTTTATGAGCTTATATAATAATGAGGGTTTAATAAAGGTGTAGGGAAAGTGGGAAGGATAGGGAAAAGGTAATAAGGGAAAAGGCAAAAATATGAGAAAATGAAAAAATGGAAATAAAGTGTAAATGGGGAGGGGACAAAGGGAAAAAATGAGAATCAAGACCTGTCACATAAAGGTACAAGATCCCAATAATGAATGTAACTGTACTGTATACCTAAAATGTACCAATAAAACTTATTTTTAAAAAAATGATTAAGTCTAATAAATTACAGATATAGACAGCATCTATTACTCCAATGAGAGTTTTCTGTTTTTTAAACATGAAAGGATTTTATATTCCTAAGATATTATTAAATAAATCAATTAATAATTTCAGTATAGTAGAAAGTCTCCTAATCGTGAACATGGAAAGTGATTGTGTACACAAGTTTGCCATTTAAAATCCCTGTGTTAAAAACTTGATTGTAACTTGGTTGGCTTGGGAGCCACCTAGGGGATTAGCAAAGCACACTCACTCCTAGGTGTGTCTGGATAGGTCTTGGAGATGTGAATTGGGTGCTTTATCCGGTCTCTGCCCCTTCCTTTCTAGACTACCTTCTTTGCTTCCAGCTACCATGAACTGAGCAGCTTTGGTACGCCATGTCCTTCTACCTGGGAATTAGCCAACTATGGGCTAATGAAACCATGATCCAAAGAAATCATTTTCTCCTGTAAGTTATGTTTGCCAGGTATTTGTTCCTAGCAATGGGAAAGCTGGCCAACACATTCTATTTGAGGAATTTATGTGGCAAGGTAGTATGGCAGTTGAGAGAAGGGTCTCTAAATGTCAGTCCTGGATTTAAGTACTAGGTTTACCATCTACTAACTTAGATAAATTGTGTCCCCCACCTTTAGGCCTCATTGTCTACTTTCAGATGTTCTCAAAAGGATACAAGTAAATGAGCCATGTGAAGAATTGAGTAAAGCACCAAGCACCTTGTCAACTATCCATCAATGTTAGTCATCATCATCATCTTCAGTAGCAGCAGCAGTAGCAATCTTCTGATCATCGACAAAACTTGCCCTACCTGAGTTCTTCCTACTATGAGGTGTATCTCCAAGCCACCTTCTTCCTCAACCATAGTTCCCCTGGCTTTCCAGTAAAGGATTTCCAGTGAAAGAGGGTAAAGCCATATGCACGCATTTTCTTTTCTCTTTCTCATCTCATCAAAGTGAAAGTGAATGAATATAAGTGTATATCCACAAAGGCATAGATAGAGGGGAGTATAGATCAGAGAAATATTTCAACTGATTTTCTGAAATGGGAAAATGGATAGAGGATTAGAAACTATATTAGCACAATGGAGGGAAGGGTAACAGAAAGTCAATTTATTAATATGTTCAGTCAAACATGGAAAGATTTAGCATTTGGAGGCAGCATATGCTAAGGCAGGAGTTCAGAGAAGGGCTGAAACTATATGAAAATTTTATGGAGCTTTTGGATCCCAGTGACTTCCTTCCCCTGTTGGAAGCAGGAAATCACACCAAGAAAGAATTTAAACTGAAAACTGTAAGGGGGGTGGGGGAAGGAGAGGCCCCAGATTGATTAATGGGAATTGAATTGAAAGTCTATAGATTTCTTAGTAAGACACTCAACTTCCTTATATGTGCTGGTCTCTGAACACTAGCAGTATGTAAATACCCCAAGCAAAAGTTGTGAGGTGGCAATTAGGAAATCCTTTAATAATGACTTGGGGAAACTTTCCCAAAAATAAGACAGAGGAACATCCAATTAGACAACATTAAAACCCTCCAGTTAATAAGCTCTATTTATGTCCTAAGAACTTTTGATGATGTAGTTATTGCCATCACTGTTATTTTGCTATTTGTGGGTCATGAAGGAGAGAAAATAGAATAAGCAACAGCATTAACTGAACGAAGAAATTCATAGAATTTCAAAAAAGTATGATAAAAAAATGAAAGGAATGAGAAATGAGGAGGAAAACATTAAGAAGCTAAAGGATTTGATCTAAAATATTCAATATTCAACTAATATGAGCTCCAGAAAGAGAAAATGGAGGCCATAAAATTATCCATGAATAATATGAGAAAACTTTTCAGAGTTGAAGCATTTATCTGGCGTGAAAGGGTCTAGTGTGTGCCAGAAGAATGCATGAAGACTAAGACAAATAAATGATCATCGTTAAATGGAGTCATTAACTTCTACAAAGAAAAATACATCATGAGAAGCTATCAGGATGTCATCAATATAAGAAAACAATGGCATGACACCTGAAAAATGTTGAGGAAATCCATTTTTAACCTAGAATTCAATTGTAGTGCAACCAAGCCTGAGATGACAGATGGTGCAAATAAAGGCCTTGTGGCCCCTGAATAGCACATAGGAATGATTTCTGAAGCAGCAATCTTAAAAGCTAGAGCTTATTGCAAACTTTGATTCTAAGTATGGAGTCACAGGCAGGAATCTAATATCACCTCAAGATTCTAGAATTCTTAAGACCAAATTATTTTTTAAGGTGGAATCAAGAGGCTGATGAAAGTCATGAAGTCTGTCAGACTGTGATTCTGGGGGAAAAACATACTATTTTTTCAGATAGCTAAGACCTTTGAAGATATAAGTCCATGGGTTATACGTTGCAAGACAGCAGCAAATACTCATTCTGAAGGCAGTTTTATTCATACTGTACTTTGCATGGTGCCACCGAATTTTGCAGGAAATAACCTTTTAACGATAGCTAAAGATGCAGCATTCAACTATCCTATATGACAAAGGAGAGAATTATTTTGCTATTTTATGCTTATTAAATTACAATGTAAAATATTTACTCACAATTCCACAATAAGGTGTTCTTAGTTACTACTTATTACATAAAAAGAATGAAATAAAAATAATCAAAGTAAAAAAATGCCTTTTTTTGTATTCCAGTATTCTTTTATTTGTAAAACAAAGAATAATATAATAAGGGATATTATTTATCATAGTAATTGATTCCCCTTTTGCACTGGGGATATTATACTTATTAAATCATTGAAGGACAAATTTAGGTAACAGTGGAGCTATAGTTCTTCCAGAAACAAATAAATAGCTATGTGTGCCAAGAAAACTTACTTTGAACATTTCTTAATTGCTCTTTCTTCATTTCTGACTACCTGATTGGCATGGTAACTACTTTCTTCTGCTATCATTTCAAGTCTGCTCTTGAGTTCACCTGATTTACCCTACCAGGAAAAAATGAAAAACTTTTTTTCTTCATTTTACTCATACAGTATATTGAACTATTGATAATATTAGTTTCTTTAGCTCTAATTCTCCAGGCTGTTTCGATAATTAGCTAACATGGCCATAGCAGATTAACAAGAATGAAAAAATTATAATAACATTCCTTCTTAAAATAAGAGTTTCCAGAAACATAAACCAAAGCAAAATTCAGCCTGAGCTAATGAATAGGCTATTTTAGCAGTTCTCAATTCATTCCTGATGAGGATAGATGATCTTTTATTTCCTGTAAGTATTCTGTATTCATTGTACAAGTATCCTTTTTTGTTTAACATGTGCAAAGCACTGTGCTGGTTACCTGGAAGAATTTAATGGGAGAGGGTGAGAACATGTAGCATTTTCTTTCAAAGGAGAGGGGGAATTTGTGAGATTTGATGGTAGAAGTACCTACAGAGAAAACTGCTAAACAGGAGGGGGTGGGGAAACTAAGAATGAAGAACTAAATTGTGAATAGAGGGCATAGCTATGATTCATTTGATAAGTAGTGGAAAGGGATTCCTTTTCAGTCCTGTTACTCTTCTCCCTGGCAGTCACTTCATGCTATAAAAACAGTATTACTGGCAAAGTTCAAGGGGACAGTAAGATTTCAGCATCTATTAGCTAACTATGATCACTTAGTTATATATAATGCGATGTTGCTAGCTCATCAAAACAGATCATTGCATTTATTTCTAGTGGACCAATTGGTTTTTATGGGTGCCTAGTACTTTTCCTTCCTTTTAAGAACAACATCCTGATTTCCTATGTAGAGCCTCTTTATAGTCAGATGGAACCACTGCAATCCATTGGTTCAGAGGAATAGCTATACCATTAACTATGTGGAAGATACTGGAGAGAAATACTTTCTCTTTGTCTGTTTGCCACATGACCCAGAAATAGATGGCACTAAAATTCTAATAGTGGTGTTATCCTCGTGTAGGTGAAATCTGAGAATGAAGCCAAAATGGGAGTATTCACATATTGGACCTACAGACAAAATAAAACCTCATAGAGTTCTAGTTAATATAGTACCCATAGTCTAAAACCTCGTGGAAAACATTGGGGTGAAGTCATCAGTATACCAATGTAGGAGAAATGCATCGGGGGGGACATTTTAGCAAGCATGACAGCAACTGTATGGAGATGTATAATAGTCTTTGCTGTTACAGTCTAATAACAGTGTCAAATTTTGCCCTCTAAATTCATTGAAGAGTAGGCTCAGAGTTGGTTATTAATGAGAAGAAAACTTTGATTAATATAAGATGAAACTTCAAAATAGGAGTTTTTTTTTAAAAAGTCATTTTCTCTTTGTAAAAGTCAACATGAACCTGGCAAATAACCTGTGATTACAGATACGTTTAATTCAACTAGCAAAACCAACCAATCAGAAAAACAGATATGTGAACGTGAAGCATTCTGATAGGTAGAAAACACAACCTTACAGTACTGCTGGGTAGTGGATTTTGGCAGGTGGTACATCATGTCAGTACTTTTATGTAAGCCACAGCAGTGTTTGTCTTCCTGAAAATAGTTCCTGTATTCTAGAAAAACATAATATAAAACTTCATTCTGGTTCTGACTTCATCACACCTGCAGAGCTATCAGAGATTTTTCAAACTTCTGTTCATTCGATTTAATGAATATTCCATTCTCTCTACTACCTCTGCTTTCTAAATCTCCATAATCAAATCACAATGAAGCAGAACCACAGAAGAACGCCACACCTTCTGAGGAAGAGAATCAAATTACTGAAGCAGAACTGAAAAAAAAATCATATAATTATCTTAGAAGATAATTTTTTCCTTAAATATTATTTTTCTTCCCATAAAGCATACACAGGAGCAACCTATGAGCACTAATGTGATTCTTTTTAATTACTGCTTGTTTTATTTTTTTTTCTGCTTGTTTGTTTTAAAGACAAGTAGAGAAGAATCTGCCTAAAAGCCAAATACACTGATAAATGTTTACTGAGAAAATCTTCCAGATGGAACTACTTTGAGGAAGGTCAATTACAAACCTCATGTCTCTCCTTTTAATGATATCCTTTAATGATCCCCTTCCATTCCCAGAAAATTAAATCACAAAAATAGCTCAGGCTGAGAATGACCCAGTAATCCTCATAATCACACTGCAATGACAGACAACAAGATCAAAGTACAGGTGCACAAGAAATAGGGATTTCCATCTTATTTTAAAACATGGACTTGCTGCTAACTGCACATCAACACTTTTTATCTTCCAAATCCTCATCTTCCAAAAAAAAAATTCTATGGTTCCTTGATTAACAAATTTCCCTCACTCTTTCTCTTCCCAATTTCTATTAAACATTAGCAGTTCACATTTTGTGGCTGAGTTTCCATATAGCCTATAACAAATTAATTTAAAAAATCTGGTGAGTTATGTTGCAATGATGTTAGCACTACTGTCTCCAATACTGCAAGGAGGAAATGTGGTGATGGAAAACTAGATAAAGACAACCCAGTACCCATATCATCAGTCAGAAAGTGAATTAGGCAACAAGTAGGGGATTCATTAAGATAGGGGTTTGAATTTTAAATTAAGAAAATCCAGAAACCAGCCAAGGCTGGAAAGAAGATACTATGTGTAGCAGGCACCTAGTTTCCTGTATTTCTTCTCTACCATCTTTAACATATGCCTTCTATTCTTGAGGTCATTCAGGTTACAATATGGCCTTTGATTCTTCAGCCATCATAAAAACTAGTAGGGGTGAACCTGTGGCACAAGTGCTGCAGGGGGCTGCTTCTATCACTGGAAGCTCTAAAAAGTTTGCTATCAGTGAACATTCTTAAGTCAATATTAGAAGAACAAGGGTAAAAGTGTTCTTGACAGGAGCTCCC